CTCTCTCTCTTTTTTTTTTTTTTTCTCTCTCTCTCTCTCTCTCTCTCTCTCTCCCTCTCTCTCTCTCTCATGACGTTGCGTCACTTCAGGAGCGCGACATCTGAGAGAACCAAGACCTTGACGATTATTGGAACTTTTCATCGAATGGTAGCTAACACATACCAGATGGCGGATCTACCGCCCGTGATTGACCTGTTCGGATGGGAACTCCGACTCATGGATTACCCATGGAGAATAACCCGCGCCACGATACTTGCGTTCATCCGAAACTGCAGAGACGCGGATGTCTGAAATAAATTCCAGGAGTACCTGAAAAGCAAGAAGCACTAAATCGACAGATATAAAACTGAAAGACCGGAATAAAATACGTCAAAAAATTCACAGGACTCGGAATATAAAGCTAAAATCACAAATCGAAAAATAATAAAAAAAAAATATATATATATATATAATTTTGCACGGAATGAAAATGAATTTTCAGGGATGAAAAAGAAACATACACGACTAAGTACCCCGAAATATTACGAAATTTCTGCAGATAAAACGACGTAACAGTGTCGCTCACATTTCAAAACATACGAAACAGATACACGATGAAAGAACTAAAGCAGTGAAAACGAACCAATAGAGAAAAAGTACTCACCTGGAAATGAAGGAAAATTCACGACCATGAAAGTAAACAAGAACAAAACAACAAACAAGGCCAGATTCGAGTCAGTATAAAAAATCAGCGGAGTTATAGACAAGTACCACAGTAAGACGGAACTCCGACAGAGAGGAGAGTACGTGAGTGGCACGCACAGAATCATTAGATATGATGAAAGTAGCTCCAGATTGAACGCATGTTGGAAATCGACGACGACAAGGACAACACAGAGAGCGACTGCGGGAGATCCTGAGGATAGATGGTGAGTACACTGCAAGGATAGGGAAAATGGCAGAGAAGGACTGAGAACGAAGGGTATAAATACTGAGGATAGTGGCTGAAATGATTACCTGAGCAGTGAGGTAGAAGGGTAATCGTGACTGGTGTCGCATGCCATGGACATTAGGTATATGCTGTGAAAGTAAAACCTTACACGTTCTGTCTATATTTGCATGTGTATGCTGTGAAAGTAAAACCTCGAACGTTCTGTCTACATTTGCATGTGTTTATCTCTATGCACTGTGCTTAGAACTTGCGGGCGGTACCCGCGATGATTGACACTGTATAAACCTGTCACTCTTCCATTTTACATTCACTGTCTTTATCTCTCTCTCAGCATTCATAACCCTTTTCTTTCATGATATCATAGTGGCGATTTGTTGGAGATTACTATAGCGTGGAGATTACTCAACGATTTTTGGAGATTCTATTTCACTTATCTTGTGTGTACTGAAGACGATCAACGACGTTGTGGGTTTTTTTATCGATTTCAAGTACGAAGACTACCTACCTGACGTTCCCAAGCTTCAAGGAGGATGTCGCGTTCGTGATCATCGTCGGACAGGAGGCGGCGCAGACACTCATCATCATCTTCCGAATCTCAAGGGAGGAAGTGCTTAAGAAGGGGGAGATCGAAAACTCCGAGAGATAGAAGACAAAAGTCAAGATCATCATCATCACGGAGAAGAAGGGCGGAGTTGGAATCTCCAAGGTGGTTTTC